GACCGAAGGAGGTGCGGCTGGCTGCTGACCCAGGCGGGCATCAGTGGTCGCCGAGTGCATCGGGGTAGTGGTAGACGAGGTCGCCGTTCCTGGGCTGTCGCTGGACACCGAGGGCGAGCCGTTACTGGAAGCCGCCGTCAGCTGTGGGGCGCCTATTGAGTAAGTCTCCATGGTCGGCCACCAGATTTGATGATTTTCAATTCGAACGTGGGGATTTAGGCCAGACGACGCGCTGTGAGGTGCAAAAAGGAGGGAGGATCTCGGGCACCACGAGGTTGATGGAGGAGGGATCGAGAAGGGGGTTGCAGCGAATCGAGGAGGCGGGTCAAGCAAGGCAAGGCCCAACCAAGCTCATCAATTAGCAAAGGCCTGGCCTGTCAGTGCTCCAGCCCGTGGTAGCTCGAGGAACAATCGCGCTGCTGCCCTGGTCTCGGGGATGTTGGTTTTCTTCCTTTGACCCAAACTAGATCCAAAGCTGGTCCCTTGTATTTCTTCGAGATGGTTTGCCACGAGATGACGGGATTGACGATGACCTGGATCGGATGAATGAATGTCAACTTTGTCAGTTCCTCTCCGCATTTGGCCATTTGGCCTCGACTTTCTTCGCGACCCGTCCCTCCCGTTCGGCCCAGCCTAGCCCTCATCCCCCGGCAAGGGGACACGCAGGGATCGGCCATGGATGCAGCGGGGACACGATGGGGTGTCTCTGACCTTCGTCCCGGGTTCTTGACCCTCTCGTGCAACCCAAGACGACGTTCAATTTGCCAGCGAAATCGAGATCTCCACCCGGAACACCGGTTAGATGAGAAAGATGCGACTTGGCGAGGTTGAGTGCCCGAGGTGAACGGTGATGGGCCCGGCAGTCTCTTTTTCTACACCGTCCCGAGTCGTGATGTTGGATGAAAACAGAGGCGCATCGGGATGTCTCACCAAGTTTGCGATGAACAGAGGGCCAATGCGGGACCGGGTTGTCAACGGTGCAGATCATTCAAGGAACCTAAGATGTGGTGGGTGGGGGGTTGAGGCGGGCAACCGACAGGCACAAGTGGCAATCTATCCTTCGCTATCCTGAATATCCTCTGTACGCAGTAAGTTCCATACTCGGGACTCTGAGCCGAGCGCTACCTAATCATGTTTGCGATTGCGAAGATCTGGGCTCTGCTGATTGACGACAACTCGTGGTGGGCAGGGCCGATGCAGCTGAAACTCGACGACCGAGTCTTGCTGATTGGCACCGGGACGCCGGGGATGGGGCCCTTGCAGTTTGAAACGGCGGAAATGCAACGCTGGCGTACGCGGAAGAAGCCTGTTCGCCCGGCTTGTCGCCATCGCCAACACAATCAGTCAGTCACCTGAGTGAGTTGGTGTGCAATGGGGCCAGCAGGGCTAGCAGAGCCAGCCAATCCAGAAGCCGATGAATCCTTCAGAAGAAAGATAGAAGGGCAGCAGGAAGGTGCCAAGTCCAGCTTCTCGAAATGGAAGGTTTTGAACCTGAATTCAACACTTCGAGGGATGGAGACTCAACGGCAGCTTCCAACGGCGGCCCCATCCAAGCGACGGAGCTATTGGCTGAACCGTTGCAGAAGTCCGAGTGGTGTGGGGCGGAAACATATTCTCCGCCGTCTGACGGGGAGGTGTGTTATCAGAATGTAAGCGCAAACGAAACCTTCGACGAGAGGTACGAAAAGAAAGCCATTCAGAAGCTCAAAGTCTATGTTTCCTTTACTTTCCTGTATTCCTTCTCTTATCTTGATTCACTGCTCCCTTCCATCCACCAGGGTTAGGGCCGATTGCGGTTCAACGTGGTTTGTTCGTCGAGGCTCTCACTGCTACTGGGGTTCTCTTTGCACCTTCCGTGGCCGGTGCATATCGGGGACAGTGGCTCGCACAGATTTCCCTCCAAGCTACGAATATTTGCCAGGGCACTTCCCCTCACCATCAGCAAGGACTGAGGCCCAGACTTCTCCCTTTTTTCTCCTTCTCGTTTCCCAGTGACAATGGGTATCTCAGAGTCAGCACTTGGCGTTAATATCGCCGGTATTAGCAATCAATCATGTTCACGGCCCGGTTACTCTATCCACACGGCGTGTGGTGGCACAGGCGTGCTTGCGTTACATCACGCTAACAGCACAACTGAGACAACCACACAACTCGCCCTCGAACGTGATCGAGGACAATTGGTTTGTCCAACACCAATAGTCCTTGGCAGGGTTAGGGCTCGATTACCAAGCCACCAAGCTTTCCCCCTCCATGTTCCGGACAAGTTGATCGGCATCCGACGTCAGACAACACGCTTGGGGTTTGAGAGACCAGTAGTTGAGTAGGTAGCCAGAGAGAAGGTTACATAGCTGAGGCTGTATGTAGAGAACACCAGCTTTCCACTCCCACAACCCCTCCTCACCGGATGTGTATTGGGCCAGGGGCTGACTTTGCACCCAGCACCACTCTCCCCCACTCGCCCCCACCCCTTTTTCCCTCGCTCCTATTCAAAATACAGACTGCACAGTACAAAGTCCAGACTGCGATCCCTGACACCAACCATGGATCCCGTGTCAATGGCAGGCCTTGCCATCGGCGTGGCGTCGATAGGACTTCAGGTGTACACGGGCGCTGTGCAGGGGATTCAACTACTCATCACGGCCTCGAATTTCCCAGATGATTGCAAGTATCTCAACCTTCGTCTGCGAATGGAACAGCAGCGTCTGTTTGCCTGGAGCGAGACATCAGGACTTCTAGACTTGGACGCCAAAAACAGGCAGAGAGTGCTCGAGTCAACACGTTCGTCCTACATCGCCAGACAGTACTCGACCTGCTGG